TCAATCCGACTGTCCATGTTGCTGACAAAGAAGGCTGTAACCAATAGTGGTAGAAACAAAGTTACTATATTTTAAGATCCTCATATAGTTAGTATCATTAATAAACCCCGTTTTAATCATTCCACTTGCAGAGCCTGAGGTTTTGGAATCGTTTTCGCAATTCACAGAGTGGTAGCGGTTGGAAGTGAGCTCTACAGATCATCTGGTCCAAACCCCCTGCCAGAGCAGATTTTCATGCTTTATACTTGAGTTTTTATTTTTTGCAAGGTTTGAAGCATTTTTGGGGGTTGGGAGGAGTGGGAATTTCAACTCCTTTCATAGAAAAGATGTAGTGAAGAGAAGGAGGTATCTCTGTCCCTGCCCCATCGTGGAGCCTTTAATTGCTAGTGGACATCCACCATAATTGTGCACAACACTGAAGTAGCTCCTTGTCTAATTATGTAGATACAAGATTAAAAAAAATGTAACCTAATGCTACTTTCCAAGACATTGGGAGACAAAGATTGTACTATGATGTTAAGAGTAATGTTTTCAGTATGTCAGCTTTCCCTGGTGAATTTTAGACCTTCAATCACAGACATAGCTGAAATACGAGTAACTGAGAAAAACCTTAGAACAAATCTTGTAATGAAATGTTGAATTTATGAATGCAGAATAAACACTTCAAATCAGAATTATATCCAGGTTGAAGTACAGGTACTCTCAACATATAGGAGCAAGACAGTAACATAGACATGGCAAATGGATCTGTCTACTGTCACTGCTTGGAGAATTTCTAAAAGCTTCTGTCTTCCATGTATAGCTCCACTTTCAGTTTTCAGAATAATGAAATTTTTATTCCCATGAGTTTCATAACTTAGGAGTCAGTGATTTTCCATATTCATAAATTTTAACAAGTGATTTCAAGGCTTAAACACTCATGAGTTTCCTTACAGTTTTAGCCATATTATAACTTCACTGATATTCTAAACCATATTAAAAGAATTAATTGCACTTGTTTTGCTTCTGTGCTAAAAGGTAGTTAGGTAATTGTTTTTCTTGTAGTATCAGTTAGTGAAATGATGCAGTTTTTTAGATTTGGGGTTTTTTTTCAGTTGATCACATTATTGCAGAAAAAACTCCAAAGTTGCTGAGTCCCTGGTTTCTCTGCTAGTTATTCTAACAAGCATTAGAAAGTTAATTAAAATTTATTTGTGGCATAGTTATGCAGTACTGACCACAGTCTTCATATAAACTAGAACTTAAATTTTCCTGTCTTCACTGAAAAATTGTACTAGCTGATAAAGCTTCTGAAATCAATTTCCAAATATACGTGGAAGATCAGGAGTTGAATACTTTCTGGTTTTGTAAACAAAACAAAACCACCTCTAAATGCCTTCATCTCCACAGTGGAGTCTGTTCAATGTATCTTTGAGTTTTATCATTTGTTAAAAAAAATATTTACTGTATTTGGGAAGCTGAATTCTGGCTGTATTAAAAAAAAAAAAAGCTTATATGACTGTTGAATATCAATACAATAATTCTTTTTGTAGCAGATATTACAACCTTCAGCTGCTGTTCAGGAGTCTTGCAACATATGGCATGTGAACTTAGAAGCCATTCCAGAGTGGGTGAAGCGTGTCATTGAAAAGGTAGATATTTTTTTGCTTGTATCTTTATAATTCAAAATGTAAAATAAGTAAGGGGAACAAATTTCAAGGGCACTTCTCTGCTGAAGTCCCCATATATTACCAAGACCTAACTGAGTTTTTTTTCTCAGTAACTTCTATCATTAAAATTTACAGAGGCTTTTTTTCCCTCTTAAATGCTTTTTTTTAATGTATGCACAAAACTTACAAGTGATAAATATTATTTCTACTCATTTATAGATGAATTCAGAGGTCTGAGTACAAGCCAGAGTCAATGCATTTGAGTTTTAACTGCCCATTTGAAATTACAGTTACTCATAACTTTCCTGTTGTACTGATTGCTTCAGCTGACTGTTTTAAGTTATTTTAGGTCTAGAAATTAACATTGTTGCATAGATATAATAAACAGAAACAGTGCTTTTCTTTTGCCCTACAGTTTTTCTCTGCTGAGTCTTTGATTTTGAGAGGCAAATGGTAACTGCATTTCTTTCTGCTTAGGCTTCAGTGTCTTAAGTTTTACTACATTGTAAGTAACTTCGGATTCAAGCAAGTCCACCCTGGAAGTGATACAAAAAGAAAAGAATTGTTATGACTGTAAAACTAAGCATTCAAAAATTAAGAAAATTTGTTTCATCTTTCTTCATTGTTTTGCTCTATTTTTTATTTTGTTAAACATTAATTAAACTTTTTAAAATTAATGATCTCTTATACTTCAGTAGTGCATGACAGTACAGTGTATCTGTTTCAGAGATACAGTAATCTTAGGGGGCTCTGTGAAAATTAGGGGTAATGAGGTGTTTCCTAGCTTTACAGAATTGCCTAATCTCGAATGCCTGATCATAAGGATACAGTTTTTTACAGTACTTCACATGTTGTATTATTTCAGTAAAATTGGATTCAGTATTGATATTAATATTATTCTTTTCACCTTTAGCTGTAAATGGCTATCCTTCTTCATTTGAAAGCGTAGAGGGTCAGGTTGGAGACCTGGGAAATACAAAACCCATGGACTGCATGGAAAAAGCTTAACATACTTGCTCAGGGTTGCAGAGCAGCAGTGATCCTCTGTTGCAGAGAATTCAGTTCTCTATGAAAACCTTCAGTTCCTCAGCGTTCATGTTGTCCTTTAATATCCTGCAAACTCTTGCCTCATTCACTTCTGATTTCTCTAGAAAGGTCCTGTGGGTTTATGGATAGATGTGTGGATTTTTAAACAGTTCTGTCTGATCCACAGATCTTCCTGGACTCTTAATAATTTTGTGATCATGTGTTATTTTCCTCTATATGACTCTTGAATCAAAGGCTAAATCATTTTACATAAGCACAAAGTCTATTTGCAGGCTGCAAAAACCCACTGCTTCCCAGCCAGCTCTTTTTTGCCATCTGTCCCTGTTCTTAACCAATCTCATTTGGTTTCATGCACACATTAGTGTATAAATAATCTTCAATAATGACAAATACCTTGCTAGTGCTGCTGGTGACCTTTATGGACCTGCATTTCCTTTTCCTCATCATTCATCACTCAGTTTAGCTTCTTTGGGTAACCTTCCAGTTTTTCCTCTTTACGTAGTCCAGCATTAAATCTGTGTACCCTCACTTCATTTTCAGATTTTGCTGATTTTCCCCCTACCAACTCCTCCACTAGTAAGCTGTTCTTTTATTGAGTCAGTGCTTTCACAGTCCATTGCCAAGTCATGCTAAATCCATCCCAAACTCCCTTGTACTGTGCCTCACCTCCCAGTCTCTGTGCACACAGGACATACAGATGTTCTTTTTCTTCCCTACTGTGTCTTGTATTCCCATTTTTGCTAGGCTTCTAGCCTTCTTCCCTAACCTTCATGAATCAATTCTCTCTATTTGGAGATCCAGATTACTATTCCATAGTGCCTACATTCCAGGAAGACCCACTAAAGGCACTAGAAACGGCTTTCCCTGAATTTTGGTGTCTAGCCCATGGCATCTGAACCATGCTTAATTTTTCTTTGAGAATGGCATATGCATACATTGGTCAGCCTTATTAACTAAAACTGTGGGTATTCAAGGAGTTTTCAGGGATTTGAAAGCCTTTGGGCAATGGAAACTGAGGTTTCTTTTTCTCTGCATTAAAAACATGTCCAGATTTAAAACAGATTCTCATAGGTCCAATCAAAGGCACATCTTTGATACTTCTTGTGAAATTTTGAGAAACTTATTCCTGCCTTGTGAGTTAAAATCTCGAAGAAATGTTTCCAGAACTTTTTCTAGCATTGCATGTGAAAAATAACTTTTTTTTTATGCACAAGTGTTTTTTCTGAAACTGCAAAATTGGTTTTACAGAAACTTTCTGAACCCTCAGTCAGACAAGCATCAGTCATGTAATCATCTTCCCAGACTACCTAGGAAGACATTTGCAACTGAAAGCAATGGTTTAACTAGAAACGTTGGGCAGCTTCTGTATTCATCGCTCAACCCCACTTTAGGCACACTATGTGTGACTGGAGTTGATAATGTTGTTTCCGATCTGGGCTTTGATCTCACAAAAACTTGCATAACTTTAATCCTCAAAACTGTTTCTGCTGACAGATGAATATATTTACTGAAAATACTAATAGTTGTGGAAATGTGTAGGAGTTTATAGATCTTTGATTCATACTTTATTTTGAAAAAGTGCCTTTAGGATTGAAATGGAATTAATGAAATTACAAATAATGAAAGTAACTGTCTCCTTATAGATAGATTTAAGGATTTGTCATCATATCTGCAAATAGATTATGTTGGAATACTACACACACCAAAATACAAATACCATTTCAAGCTTTCATGGAGTAAGCAAAGTAAAAACCTATATTCTCTTTGTAAAAAATCTCTTTCCACTGTACTTAGTATGCGAGAAATGTATCAGCACTCAGAAGACTCAGCTGAGAAACTGTGCTTGCCAATTCCAGATCAACATGGTAAATTGATTTCACTGCTTTAAAGAATATAATGTTTTCATCAGTATTGCAGCATTATTCTATATATGGACAAACTTTAAACATGTTTAAAAGCCTCTACATTTTGAAACGTGTTCTAAATTTCTTAGAATTAGTTATCACTGCAGAAAGTAGAGTTTTGACCGGAACATTTTTTGTGGTGGATTTTCCTTCTGCTGTGAAGTCTGTTTTATTGTGTTTGGAAAAAAAAAAATGAACCCTTTTTTAAAAGGAGAAAAGTAAGTCTAGTAACCGTTACTTAATCACTTATTTAGAATGAATGTGTTGGATGCTTTTTTTCTCTTCTTGTCAATAGGCACAGTGGACAATTGGAAAACTGCACTGTCCATTCTGTGAGGCCTGCTTAGGGGGCTTTAACTTTATTTGCAACACAAAATGTTCCTGTGGCCAGTTAGTAAATATACATTTCTGCAAGAGTCGGACTGACTATCAGCCAGCTTTTCCTGTTAAATCGGCAAAATCATCAGGAAAACACTTACCTCTCCTCAAAATTCAGTCTGGTTTTAGCGAGGATACCTGCCATGAAGTGGTGACTGCAACTTTGGAAATCAAAAATCAAGGACTTCCATACATGGCCAGAAATAACAATGGTACTGGAAGATTAATAGAAGCACTTTGTCTAGAAGTAAGAGCTCCCACATTTGAGATGAAAAGTAAGAAACTTCCATTAAAGGAATTAAATCAAAAAAGAAATCATTCTACTTCCTATTCTGTGAATGACGCATGCATTGTAAAACCTTTTCACAGAAGATCACGAAGTTTGGATTTAAATACCAGAAAGAGGCTTGTTTTGTCACCTTCATTGTATAAAACTTGCAGTATGGGAACAATTTACCATGGGCAAAATGAAAATCCACCTATTTACACAGGAAGTAGCTTGCAGTTAGAGTCCAATAGGAAAGATGGTCATTCTTTTCTTGACCTGTATAGTTGCAGTGCTAACAGACTACAAAAAACATTTCAAGTTACTTCAGTTACCACATTACTACATAGAGAAACAGAAAGTGACTGTGATTCTGAAGCTACTGGACAATCTCCTGGGACTACCATTGCTGACGGGTCATCTTTCATGATGAACCTTTCTTCAAACACAAGTGCTGTAGAAGAGGAGCAGTACATCACATCTGTTGGTCATGCACAGCCTACGAGTATTTCCTTCAACCAAAAGCTAAGCAAGAGAGAAAGAAACAAGTTGAAAAGCTTGAGGAGGAAGCAAAGAAGGCGAGAACGGTGGCTACAGAAGCAGGTAGGTGTTTAAAATTCATTATGCTACTGATTTTTAAGTTTGGCTTGGTTTTATAAATAATTCTGACTTTTTTGTGTGTGTACTGTCTCTTAATACTGGTTTAACATGGTACTGTGTAGAGTAAGGTATTCTGCAAAAAAGGAATTTTGACCTCTTCTTACATATATCTTCTCTAATTCAATCAAATCAGGGTTTTTTGTGTAAAATCAAACCTTAGTGGCTATATATAACTATTTTCTCTTGGCCACCTTATTGTTTTGTGATGTAGTAATAAATTTGAAGTTGGAAAAAAAATACCATTAAAATAATCGGTGTGATTAAAGGAAAACTAAACATTCAAATCTAAATCAGAAACCCTAACGTTTTGGGATTTCCTGGCTTTTAAGTAATAGCATTTTGCGTGCCCTGCAGCATTGAATTTTAGAGTCCATACTGATGTTCTCCAGTAACGGACAGTCTTGCAGTGAAGGCACTAGGCTTCAAAGATTTAACTCGTGACCTTATTTAACTTAATCTATTCTTGTCTCTTTTTTTATCTGTATATTGGTTTATAACTATTTTTCTTGCAATGTCATGTTTGTATTTAAACTGTAAAACCTTCAGGTGTCTCATCATGCATTTACGTAATTGGATTTCAGTCACTTTTTTATGATGGTACTTGTATGGATTCTTCAAGTGGATGTTGGAGGGCTAAGAACATTATTTAATTTTAGTACAAAAGTAAAGCAGAAAGAGAAGGAAGTGAAATGGAACCACAGCCAGATGAGCTAAGCAGTAACTACAAGGGCTCAATTGTGACCTATTTTAGGGAAATTTGAGGCCCTGGAGAAGTTGCTTAAAGTAATGAAAGAATAAACACAAGGGAAGAGGGGTAATCCTAATCCCATACCCTGAGATCTGTACCAAACGATGGTGGATTTAATATGAAATAATGTTCAGTTGTCAATCCCCAGAATTAAGACTGAGGGATATGGTAGTGGGAGAGCGTTTTGACTACGCAGCTCGCACTGTATCCACACCAGCTTTCTCATTTACTTCCTCAAATGACTAAAAGAAATGGAGATCAAATATTAATATAAACCTTTCCAACTTGGGAAAGGTGGAAACTCTGATTTCAGTGTTCAAAAACCACACCTGCTCTGGATAATTTCTGAAAGTGACATAGCAATTTTTAAGTTCTATACTTAACTGGTTGAATTTACATTTAAAGCATAATAAACTTTGACATAAAGAAGACCAAAGCGCTTCTGTGTTAACATGCAGTTGCAGAGTTCACAGTCCCTGGTCTGATACATTTGTGATTTACGCTTTCTGAAATAGTATTGCACTGATGAAGCTATAATGTTAATGGTTTAAGAGCCATTGAGCAGAGAGACTGCAGGGTGTTTCATCTTGTTTATGGGCAAAGAAGAAACACAGGTTTTGTATATAAAGCCACGAATTTATTCTTCATATGCCTGAAATCTTAAGAGTGTGATTATTATTACTTCAGATTTAATTGTTAAAGAAAAAAGAAAGAGTAATATTACGACTGAGACTGTTACGTGCACTCCCTTGTTCCTCTCCAGTTCCTGTGGTTCTGCCCATGGCACTGCACCTCATGGCACAGCAGGCCTTGGGGTCTGGTAGGGAAGTGTTACTGCAGCTTGCCAGCGTCTGGGGTCCTTCACTGTGTGTGGGATGATGTTTGTGTTTGATGGTTTCTTTTTCTTTACCACAGAATCCACCTGAGGTCATTTTTGTTTGTTTGCTAACACACTTCTGTACCTTTGCTCTTTTTCCTCTGGTCTGCAGCTTCATGCTACATCCAAATTATCTTATGTGGTGCCTTTGACTTACACAAGGTACAGTTTCTTGCTCGATTTGTTACCCTTAAAACCCTTGGGTCCTTCTGTCCAAGCCCAAGTCTGCATTTCTTTCAGAGACTCTTGGGAAGTTGCTCATAGCTGTTGTGGTCCCATTGCCAACCGGATGCCTCATCTCGTGTGATCCCATGCCTGCACTCCTCCCTGTTGCATCCTGGGTCTCCATTTCTCAAGGCCTCTCTTATCTTTAGCAGGCCTGTATTTCTTTACACTAAATCATTGTATTGGAGTTGTAAATACTGCATTCTACGTGGAATAACCAGTCAGTGGTTGCACCATACAAAGATAACAAGAGTAAAACCAGACATCTGGTCAGTTAGAGAAATTGCTGTCACAAAAAAACAAGTGAAACCAAGCATCAGGCAGAGCAAGGGAAGTTCAGCCAAAGCAAGCATGGCCAGCCTTAGTCCTGAGGCCTCTGAAGTTCCACATGAAGATGGAGACTGTCCCTAGCCACCAGAGTACTGCATTACAGGGCTGCGTGGTTACAAGTAAGGAGCAATGTCTTTTTTAACTCTCTGATACAAGCAGAGGAGAAAATGTGGGCACGAGGTGCTTCTGAGCCAAAGTTTGTCTATCTTAGCTTTTGCTTTGGTTGTAACTAGTTACTACATGGTGACTTTTGTAATTAGGAGATTCATTCTGCAACATCATAAATTGGATTAACAGAAAGGTATTAAGAATGATGGATTCAGGCCTAAATGCATGACTTGCTTTTGTGAAATTGCAGCTGTGGTTTCTGTGGAAGTTTCATCTGAGGGAAATAGCACACAAAAGCTACTGGTTTCTGAGATGCATCTGGAGCTCCTGTTGCAAGACTTTAAACTCCAACACTTCAGAGTTTAATTACGTTTAGCAGCAGTCTTTTCACACTTTTGTGATTACAGCTTTTGAGGGTGTTCGCTGACCTGACCTCTCTTACGTTTTCATATGCCTTTTACAAAATTTGGTTTTAATAACTAGTGGGATGAAAAGCCTTGCAATTTGCCAGGGATTTGTCAGGAAGAAACTCTGCTTGCCTTCTGTCATGGATTGTATTGTAACTTCACTCACCTGTTGGAAAGGAAGGAAAATTAATTTTGGACCTACTGGATAAATACAACATATCAGGTTTGTCTCAGTGTATCTGTAAATACTCTAAAAATTTTATGAACATCTTGAATCTAGAATATATAGACTAGAATGACTATAGACTAGAATGTAGTGTAAGTATGCTGTCATAATATATCTTTATTGAAGGCCAAAATAGCTGGCTGTGCTGTGAAAATATTCCCTCATTTAAGTGAAATATATATAAATAAGCCCAGTGAAACAAGTTAACGTATTTTATTGTTGACTGTCTGCTAAGTAAGTGTTTTTTTAATAGATCATATACAGAGCATTGTTGCTGTTCCAAGGTTACATTGATTGCTATTCCAAGAAAATATTGATAAATAGCCTAGAACTATAGAAATATTGTATGCTCTTTTCTTGTATAAACTCTAAGAATTAGAAGCTATTATTTTAGTTTTTCTGGAATCCTATAGGCAACTTAGATGATAGCATTTATGAAACTTGCTGTCCCTCAGCTGGAAAAGACAATGACCCATTCATGGAGGTAGGTTGCAAAGGAGTGCAATTAGGTACAGCTCATCATTTCAGCATTGAATTCTTATTACACAGATAGAGTGAAGAGCAAACTAAATTGCAGTTATATAAGATTACTTGTGGCAGATAGAAATCGAAGTTCAACAATGGTACAAACAAAAATACAGAAGTATTTTCACATTTATGAGATTTACTGTGTATTACCAGAAGGACCACAGGAAATACACAGTAAGAGCAGAGTTTAAGTGACACTTTCCATAAGAAAATAATGTATTGTTATAAATTTTATAGAATTTTGTGCCTCATGCCTGTAGTCCTTCAGTTCTACAAATTTTACTGATAGAATGGCTAAGAATTTAAGTAAGTTTTATATTTCTAGTTGTCTTTCATGGAACTAAACTCTATATACATATAAACTAGGGTAAATTAAATGCTGCTTGCATGTAGATTTAAGTAGAGTGCAGGGCTTGGTTCTTCAAGTTCAAAAATATTTTCTTTTCAGGAAAAAAGAAATTCCTAACACCTGGGACAATTAAAGCTCACCACTTTTTTTTTGAAAGAACTATTTCTTCATGCTCTGTAGTGGCCAACATATCTATGAATGTTTCTCATCCACACTTTAAATTTTATGGTGTCCAACTTCTAGGCATATTTTTTCCTTCATGTCTGCATTTTGGAGAAAATAATGCTATCTGAAAGGAATCTTTGTTTTCCTTAGATTTCTTCAACTGTTTTAGGTAAAACTACAGGCAGTCACTGAGAAGTCGAGGTCACTGATGCATCAAAAAAATGTCACACGAACAGAATAAAACATAGATTTCATACAAACTTACTTTCTGAAGTTGATAAGAAATCAGTGATTTTAGTAGGAAATGCAAAAATTAAAGTAGCAAAATAGCAAAATGAATTATTATATATAGTACTGCAAAATGCTGAAGAGGTGTTGTATGATAGCTGCACTTCAGAATTAAATGTAAGGAAAGATAGCATCTACTGTTAAAGCTGAAGAAGTTGTCAGTCATTTGGGCATATGAATGTCTTTTTCACATCCAAATAGAAGCTTATACCAGTAAGCTAAATAAAACAAAAGTTTCCTGTGTTATGGTCTAACACTCTTACAACTGTAAAGCTGGGACAACATATATTTTTTAAAGCTATCTGTTGCCAAGATTTTAGTCGGTACAGTGCTTTTTCTGATATCATGTGCTTCCCTAATGCTTTATATCCTCACCTAAATTAAAATGATCACACATCAGAAGGAAAAGGTTTCCTTTGATGACTTAGCTAAAAACATGCCTCACATTTAATACAATTTAGAATTATGGGGGATGGAATGTGTGAAGTTTCTTTCTTTTTTTAATTTTCTTTCAAGAGCATATCTGCTTTTTGTGAAGATGCTAGAAATCTGTCAGTTCCCATTGTTAGTAATTTGCAATCAAGTTTCTAATTAAAATCACTTCACCTTTCATTTGAGCATTAGGAGATTTGATGTGTTGTTTCTAGAGATTGGAGATTGGAGTATGAACAAGAAAATATTTGGACATAGTG